TGGTTATTAAAGCGCAGAATATAATGAGTGTAACGGATATGGAGTACGAGATGGAGATCTTGAGGTGATCTTTGAGTGAACCGAACCAAAAGGCATTCAATACACCAAACACTGCGCTGCAGATGAAAGTCGTGCCAATCATTACGACAATCACTTGATTGGTGTCCATCTTATCGCCCAACAGATCCCGGCCTGTGATTGAAAAGTATAGACTCAACGAAATGACGGCAATATTGATGACCACAAGTGATGCGCGAAATACTTTGATGGCTACGTAGAGGTACGCGAAGTCCGTCGACGTGTCCATTGGGTTTGACTGTTGAATATCTATGGGATATATCATTGCTTTACTTAACACAATCCGAGCGCTTCTTCTCTCGGATCCGCTCGTATTTATTCATACATATAATGACAATAAATATTTTTCCATAGACTTGTAATACAGAATATTTTTTCCACAATAAATTATTTCTAATGCTTTCCAATCACTTATGAGACTGAATATCAAATATGTTATTTTGATGTCTGTTTTATTTAATAAAATTTATTCAATACATAATTAATATAATTATTCTTTAATACTGTATATTGGTTTGTATTGTATTATTAAAACTCATACACAATAATAAAATAAAATACACAAACAGTGAGTATATAAGTAGTAGTTTTAATGAAATGTAAGCAAATCGATGTCTGATCTCAATATACATTTATATTTGTTATAAATATTAAACAAAAAAACAAAAACTATAAGTTATGTAAGAAAACACGCGATAAAAGCATTAATTTTCATTTCATATGCCATTTAAAGAGACAATAGACTGATCATAATGTACTCATTTACCTATTGAATCGTACGGACAATAGTGTTGGTGCCCCTAACCTACCTTGATCATGTAATACAATAGTAGTTATAAGCCAAATATTTACATTAATTTTGACATTTCTAATGAAAATAGTTTTATTTTTAAAACTCAATTTTCAAAGAAAATATAATTATACTAAAATAATATTTATGGCTTGTTTTCAAAAATGTCATTAAATAAAAATTTTTAGAAATTTGAATTATAATTTAGAATAAAAATTATTTTTTATATTAACATTTAAAATTAAAACTAAATTATCATTAAATAGTGGTTTTCAGTACTAATAAAAGTATGAGTAAAATGAGCAGAAGTTTGTATTTATTATCAGTTTAGCGCAGAATTAATAGTATTTAATATTTTGTATGAACTGATATTTGCGAAACAATACTTTTCAAACTTAATAAAAGTGTAAAAAGTACCATGATTAGATATGTCATACAATTAAGGGCAACATTCAATACACATTAATTAGTATATTAATAATACATATTATCAATAAATTATTAATGAATTAAATGTAAGGGAGGACAGGATCTACTTATTACTATCAAGTTTGAACGAGTTGTACATGTGATGAAACAATAATTAATGTATTAATTTTCACTATTACAAGGGTTTTAAATTAAAACTTTTAATATTGTATTAAATATAGACCTTATTTAAAATTCAGCAAGTACATATTTCAGTTTTCAGTTCGTTGTTAATTAAATTTGCTATTAATTGCAAATAATAAGTTTTAATAAAAAGTTAAAAATGTATTTTAGATATGAGTGAGAAAGTGGTGAAACCAAAAGTTTAACTCAAGTGTTAATTTTGCAGCCAATTATTAATCGAGATAATTTTAGTTTATGTGAACTCATTTGCGAAACAATTGCATTAAAACTAATTTAGTTTGAAGTGCTTTAAATCCCATGCGATTAGATATGAAGTGCCAAACGCTTATATCAGTCAAAATTGTTAATACTTTCGGACACTTAATCAGTCAATCTTTAATCAGTAAAAAACGTTTTTACAAATAGGGTTTTAGATCTACAAAAACCATGTTTATTTAATTAATACAATGATTATGCAATCACCCAGGTGCGTTCAGTGCCGTAATTCATTGTGGATACGTTTGAAAGGACAATATTTGCGATAATTATTACTAAAGTGGTTGTGAAACAATTGAATGCATTCAAGGATTTTGCAAATACTATAAATACATAACTGAAGAATCGGTTGAGAATATAGTCTTCATTTGGTTTTTAGCAAAAAAAAAACAAAACATCAAAAGTACTAAAGTATGAGATTCTTGACAGTCGTTGCGCTTATTTCCACACTCTATAGCCTCAACGCCTGTAAGTTTTGGCATAAACTGTGTTTAAAAGTATAATTATATTTCATAATTAATAAAAAAAAACACATTATATTTATAGACCAAACGGTGAAACTGAACACCGGGTATGAGATGCCCATTCTAGGTCTGGGCACGTGGCAGGCACACGGCCCAGAAGTGAAACAGGCCGTCAAAGACGCCATTGAGATCGGCTACAGACACATCGACACCGCCTCCGACTACGGCAATGAGGCAGAGGTGGGTCAGGCCATCGCCGAGTCCATCAAAGCGGGTATTATTA